CTATACTTATTTTCATGATTATTTAGGTTGATTTCTAATGTGCGCAGTGAGTTTATTAACCGAGATAATCTATAGCTAGATCGAATATTGAATCCGTAATTATTCAATCTCTTTGATTCGTGTAGTAACTAGGAGTGTATGGTTTGTTGCGTCGAAACTAATGACTCTTAGGAAGATTGTTTAACTAGATTAAATGCAACTACATTTGTTGTGTTGTCTTGCTTTGTTGATCTTTTTAATTCGGAAAGCCATTGTTTGATTAAATTTTAGATCGTATCTAGGGTTGTTGAAGAATGAGGGTTAACTAGAATACATGTTTCTAGTTGGCTAATCGTAAGGAAAGATTGATTTCAATATCACAACAATTATTTGAATGAGAATTTGATATTTCTTGCACCAAGGATAAATCTAAAATTTCAAAAGTGGATGTGACACGAACCAAGGTTTGTTTACTTGAATATTTATTTTAAACTTATTTCTTGAATTTAATTTGTTTAGTTTCGGTTATATCTCGGTCAAATAAAAAACTCCCTTTTATTTATTTCATGTTTCTTTTGGATTTGTGACGACTAATGCAACAAAAAATCCTTGTGGGATCGATCCCTATTCTCCTTTACTACATTTGTGTTACGGGAGTTTAGGAGTTTAATTTGGGTACATACGACGACATCTCACCAATATATATATAGTTTTGTAATATATAAATTCTAATGAGTGGAAGAGAGAGCTAAAAGTGTATTTTAGATAATTTGACTTAATTTTTTTAAAAATGATAATCGGTTAAAAAAGATAATTATGCCCTATTTTTTTTTAAAAAATTATTAATTAGTTAAAAACTTCACAATTTTTATTTGATTATATATATATATATATATATATATATACAAAATCGGAATCTATCGAAACCAAATTTATAGTAGTTTTTATTTAAATCTATTTGCTTTGATATATTCCTTACAGTTTTATTTATTTATTTATTTATTTTACGTACTCTAAATCGTTAAGTACGATATATATATATTTTTTTGTTAGAAATTAATGATATTTGCATATATAACATCAATTATTTGTTATTTATTTTTTCATATTTTAAAATCAATATTTTTAAATAAAATAATTTAATTAATGTTTTGATATGACCTCTTAATTATTCAAATACAATATTTTTGTACTAATATTATAAATTATTTTGTTAATGAAAATATATAGATCAAATAAGTTCGGTTAATCTATAGATTCGATTTACATTAATCTTCAAAAATAAAACATCTACTTGTTGGGTCGCTGAGTAGGTCGTTCACGGTCCCATTCGTTGTAGCATCCTTCATAGTCCCATTACTTTGGCTTTTTTTTCCTCGATCGGCATCCCTTTTTTTCTTTCTTTTTAATAGGTTGGGCTATTGAAATTTAGTTTGTCCCTTCTTTCTTAATTTGTTAATAAATTTGTTTTTTTTATATGACTTTTGAAATCAAATGTTGGAACATGATTGTTTCATTTTTTAAGATATATTATTATAATTTATATGATTGATTATTTTTATATGAAAATGTTGTTATTACTTATATAAATTCTAATGAGAGAGAAAGAGCTAAAAGTATATTTTAAATAATTTAACTTCATTTTTTAAAAAAATAATAATCAATTAAAAAATTAATTTGACTTGTTTTTTTTCAAAAAATTAATAATTAGTTAAAAAAATTCACAGTTTTATTTGGTTATATATATATATATATATATATTTAGTTTATATGCTTTGAGTCGCTAAGTACAATACACACACACACACACACACACACACACACACACACACCAACTATGAGTGACCACTGCTCTTTTTTTCTTTCTATAATTTATCTTATATTTTTAAAAATCGGCCACCAATCTCATGATAGAACAAAAAAAAAAAAAAACAAGTTAGCTAATTATTGTAAATCTTAATGTGTTTTAGGATTTGATCACCAATAGGCAAAAGGAAACCCTTAAAAGAATATACATATTGTCATAGCATAACTGGATCTCTAACAAATGTTGCGCAAGTTAAGCGGTCATATATAATTGGTCCCCGAATCGGGAAAGAAAACATATATATTATTGATCTCTTTAATGTCCCCGAATCAATATTAATTATATCATTGACATTGATGTTAACATACATATCCGATTATTTTATTCTTATTGTTTAAAATTTATTTATTTAATTATTTGTCTCTTATTAATTTTCTCATTAAATTAACTTTTTGATATAATTTTATTTGTTAATAAATTTTGTTTTTTAATATATGAATTTTGAAATAAAATTTTAGAACGTCAATATTTTATTTTAAAAAAATATATTATTATAATTTATACAATAAATTATTTTTAAATTTTTAAATGAGTGGTTTATATATATATATATATATATATATATATATATATAGAGAGAGAGAGAGAGAGAGAGAGAGAGCTAAAAGTATGTTTTAGATAGTTTAAGTCAATTTGTTTTTTAGAAAAAATAATAATGAGTTCAAAAAATTCAAAAGTTTTTTTTTACGCATATTTATTCAAAATTTATTAGAACTAATTTTCTTGTAGTTTTTATTTTATTCTATTGACTTCAATATATTTCTACAATTTAGACGGGTTTTTTTTCTATTTATTATATATATTCGAATACGTTATATATATATATATGTATATTATTAGTTTCGTTAGAAATTAAATATATATAGATTCGATTTATATTAATCATCAAAAATAAAACTTTCTACTCGCATTACACCATGCAAATCGTTAACTCTATATAATTTCGTTAGAAATTAAATATATATAGATTCGGTTGTACGCCCGCAACGTAGCGCGGGTATCCAACTAGTCATAACTATACTAAGTGAATTCAGAGTTTTTGGTCTAAAAAAAAAGGTTAACTTGCAAGGAATATATTGACTAAATTTGAAGTTAATAGACTAAAATAAAAATTATTACAAATTTGATTTTGATTAATTTTGATTATACAAAGAAGAAAAAAATTAATAAAACATGTGCATTCTTTTTCTTTCTTTTTTCCTCCTTCTTAAATAATTTTTTATTTCTATGTTATGCATGGCTAGTCCTTGAATAAAAGCCTTACCATAGAGCAATCATCTTCTTTTTACTTTTCATATTTGATTTTCAACTATTAATTAACTAATTTGAGTTTTTTTCTAAAAAACATTGAGAAAAAAATATTTGAAATACACTTTTAATCTAAAAATGCATTTGAAACAAATTATATATATTAATCATGCCACTATAATTTAAAAAATATATAAATCTATTTTTCAAAAGGAAAATAATATGTTCTAAAATTTTATTCCAAAATTCATACATATAGAAAAATAAATCAAAATTGTCAGTAAATATAATTTTAAATTAATTGGATGAGAATTTAAAAAAAAAAAAAAGACAAATTACAGTAGTAATAAAAATAATTTACAAAAAATACTAAAACAAAATAGGACAAAATCACAATGCAATTAAAGTTTGAAATTGAAAAAGAAATGTATAGAAAAATTGAGGACAGTATAATTTTAAATAAATTGGATGAAAATTTACAAACAAAATGACAAATTAAAGTAGTAAATTTTAAATAATAAAAATAATTAAAAAATAATATAAAAAAATGAGATCGAATCATAATACAATTAAAGTTTGAAATTGAAAAAAAAAGCATAGAACAATTGAGGACTAAACATATATTTTAGACAAATTATATACATTAATCATGCTACTATAATTTAAAAATTATCTAAATCTATTTTTTCAAAAGAAAAAATAATCATGTTCTAAAAATTTATTCCAAAATCCACGTATATAGAAAATTAAATCAAAACTGTCAAGTAAATATAATTTTAAATTAATTGGATGAGAATTAAAAAAAAATAACAAATTAAAGTACTAAATTTTAAATAATAAAAATAATTAACAAAAAACACTAAAACAAAATGGGACCAAATCACAATACAATTAACGTTTGAAATTGAAAAAAATATTTATAGAAAAATTGAGGACCATATAATTTTAAATTACAATACAATTAAAGTTTGAAATTGAGAAAAAAGAGAATTTAAAAAAATAACAAATCAAATTAGTAAATCTTAAATAATAAAAATAATTAACAAAAAACACTAAAACAAAATGGGAGTAAATAATAATATTATTAAATTTTGAGATTGAAAAAAAAAGTATAGAAAAATTGAGGACCAAAGTGTTACAAAAATGTCATAAATAGTACAAGGAATAGTGATTTGTGAGTATGTGAATAATGTTATGAATAGTAAAAAATCATTTTGTTATAGTGTTTTTTATAATTAAGTTTTTTAGCCGTGCTATACTAGGGATCAGACAGGACATATAAAATTATTTTAGTTTAATATTTCATATTATATTGTGCATATACTAAAATATATCAAATAAAAATTCATTTAATTTTTTATTTTTTAATCAAAATTTTGTATTTAACTGATTATTTTTTATTTTTCATAATATTTTTTTGAAAAATATTATTTATTTATTTTTATCCACAAACTTAAAAATTTATATCAAAATCAATGGATTTTTAGCTAAAAACTTATTTTGTAAATTGTTTTTTAAAAACATTTTTTTGCTTTAAAATTTTTTATTAAAAAAATTAGAGGAAAAAAAAAACCAAAATGATCAAAATGAAACAAAAAAAGGACTAAAATCAAACAAAACATATTTGAGAATTAAAAAACAATATTTAAAAAAGAGAGATTAAAGTGAAATGTTAAAAAAAACTTTCATAATATATGTCTTTAAAATATTTGAGAACTACAAAAGTACCATGCATTTGAGTGAACAGTAAAATAAATCTAAGTGAATAGTATTTTAAGTAATGCAATAAATAGTAACCATATGTTTTATTTTAGTTTTTTTTTTTAATTAATCTTGAAGGTATGAACCGTGTTCGATGGTCTTCAAATATGAGAGATTACAAAGAGTACAACGTTATCTCTTTCCTTCACAGCTTGTAGTGGTTTGCCAAAGATTTGCCATCCAACTCTCTTGAAAGGAACCTTTTCAGATAATCTTCCATGGTGAACTGCCTGTACTGAGCTGGTTTCTGTGATGATATTAGCTCCGGGAGGGGTCCAAACAAGCTGACCCTGTCACTAGGATTGAAGAAAACTGCAATTGAAACTCTTGGTTCGCGATGAGGATTAGCCAACACTCTGTGTTCTACACTTTTGTATTCATCATTGGACATTATCTGAAAAACAATCAGTCAGATAGAAGAGTCACGTATTTAACGAATTTCATCTGAGAACCTGGGCAAACAGTCAATCTCTATGGTGTTCAACTGCTCAAGTTATATATGGTGACCCTACCAGAGAAATTATGGACTCATAGCTCCCAAGAAGATTACAATAATAAACCAGTTAACCACACACACTGGACATTTACCTGAAGTATATCTCCAACGTTGATCACAAGAGCTCCTGGGACAGGTTTAACATCCACCCATTCCCCATTATACTTGACCTGCAAACCTCCAATATCGTCCTGAAGCAACACTGTCACGACCCCAGGATCTGTATGAGATGCAATCCCAACCGTTAGATCAGGCTGTGGACAGCATGGATAGTAGTGGCCTACCATTGTCCTCCCTTCCAAACATGTCATCTCCTTTAACCTTCCCGCATCCAATCGCACTCCTTCGCACAACAACTCCATCAATAGTTCTGCCACTCTTTTAGTCTGTATGTTCCACTCAAGCAACTCATTCCTGCATATCTCAGGGATTTCTTGAAGCTCCGGTAAGGTGGGACCTAGATACACCTGAAGCGTGTCCCTACAAATTTGCATATGCATTTCATTGTTCTGGTCTATCAAAATAATGAACTTTTTGCATGCTAATTAATTTCAAAAATTCATCCACTTCAGTTTCTCTCGCTTCCATATTTCCTGTAGGCGTAATAAACTCATTCAGACCTCCATATGAACCATAGACTAAACTTTAGTATGCAAAATGACGTTTTTGACGCTCCGCAAACACTAACTTATCCTTTATCAAGCAACTGCATCTCAATGGGGAGGAGTGAGTTCTATAAAGGTTGGAATGAAGCCTGACAATCCTACATGATAAGTTTCAAATTAATACATCTTAATTTTCTTTAGAGACTGTCTTTGAAACTTCTTTTGATTGTGTATCCTACTTTGATTTTTCTTTTCATTTAAATCTCCTTCTTCTACCCAATTCTCCTGAACTACAAGTCAGATAAAATCTGTGTGTGTTGATAAAGGCAGACCAAACAGGTTCACACTCTTCTGGTGACTATTCAAGTGGGATTTGTGGAAAACCTGTGGGTGATTACTAATTAAGAGTAAGTTCGTTAAACTTATACCCTGATTTGAGTAAGAAATTTCGTTTGAAATCCACTCATAACGCAGTACTTTCTCTATGATTACATTGCTCTAATAATCGAACAATTCAAAAATCGATGAACCTGCAGTAAAACCACAATCATAATTATAAATACTCTTTCTGTTCTGAATATTGCTTCCTTCAACTTTTCACGTAGATTAAAAAAACTATTAATTGTTGTCATATCCATTTTCTAGAAGTGTATTTGTACCATCTCTTTAAGATTGAGGAGGTATTTCTTTTTTCAGTTTTCTAATAATCCCTCTAATAAAGTGGAATCTAGTGCAGAGCTCTATATCACAGCATGCGTTATTGAATAAAAGAAAAGAGCAACTGACTACCAATTATCATACCTCCAGCTAGCGGCTTTAGAATGAAACAAGTCGAAGTTAGAAAAAATTGCTACTCCGGTCCCCATGTCCCTACGGTACCACCGCGTCTTCTCTTCTGGGGACTGCTCGTGCAGACCCTTGATACCACCAATCATTTGTTCCATCACTTCCACCGAAACCCCATGATTCACAATCTGAAAAAACCCGAACTCGCGAGAGGCACTCGAAATCTGCTCCACAATCTTAGACCTGCTGTTGGAGTCAACCCCTGACAGGTCAATTGTGGGGATGATGTCACGTTCGACTTGTGAAATGGTTTTAAGATCAGATAGTGTCTCACTTGGGTGAATGAAGAAGCGAGGAATGGAGGCAACGCCTGAGTCGACAAGGCCTTTGACTCCAAGTTTAGAGTCGTCAAACAGTTTTGCATCGTTTAAACGATCATATTCTTGATCAGTGCTGCTGGTCATTGATGCTGTTGTTGCTGTGGCCATAATGATTCTTGATCTTTTTCCACTTTCTTTGTGGTGTATATATGTAGTCCGTCTGCTGTTAACGAGTCAATTTCCTATATATTTTATACAGGTAATGTAGAGTTCAGACAGTGGGATTAGATTCTTCCATTTTTATAACGAGTAATGAGCAAGCAGACGGCAATATAATGGTTTTCTATCCTGTTTCCTGGTCAAACAAAAATACGTACCGTTGGAATGCGAACTCTCATACAATAATGTAAGTTCGGCGGGGATGGGATTTGGAATCTGGGGTAGGTGCTGCTTATATAATTGACTTTTTATGTTTAAGCAGCACCTTCCCCAGATTCCAAATCCCGTGTGTGTATATATATAATAGCATAAAAGTCCTTTTACTCTTGACATTTTTTTAATGTGATCCTTATACTTTTTTTTCGTATTCAACACCTCTCTATACCCTTCAGTTTTTCTTAATGTGGCCCCTCTTAATGAAATCCGATGATTCTTTCGATTGATGACGACAAATTGTTAAAAATTACCATGTGTCATGACATATAAAATAAAGTTTGCCATGTGGCGCAAAATTTTTACGAGCTTATATCTAAAAGAAAAAAAATATTGAAATATAAAAACTTGTTGATTTTTCTCTCTCCTCTCATAGTCGATCGATCGTTGTTTTATTCAAACGAAAAACAAACCCTAATATCCTCACACATTTATCTTTGATTTTTTGTTCACTATCAATTCACAAGCAATCGAATCACAAGATCTTTGGATATCGTTTGTTATTCTAGTAAATTGATTATTCGGTAACTCTGAATCCCCAATTTATAAAAATCTCTAATTCAAAACCCCGAATACCTCATCTAGTTTTTTAACATCAAGTATTTGTTATTGTTGGTTGAAAACATATGTTTATTGTCCAATAACCGAGTATCAATTGATTCTTCGTTGTCCTAATTTTGTATTACGATAAAGTGGACACCATTAAAGAAAAGGAATATTTGGCTAAAAAGGTAAGTTGTTTTGTCCTCCATCATTAGTTTATTATAGTTGTGTTATTTTATTGATCGAATAGTGGTCCTTATTATTATAGGAACAACTTAATAATATGATAAAGTATACAACAATACAAAAAAGAGTAGAGTATTATTTTGGGAGCCTCACTGTCTCATGTGTGTTGTCCTTGATTTGTTGTTGGTTTGCTAACAAGGTAAATTTTTTATTCTCAATCAACTTATTATGTTTTATATTGTTTTGAGGCCCTAACTATCTCATGGATTGACTGTGGTTAATGTTTTTCTTTATTGGTTGTGTTTGATAGTCGAAAACATTTGCTTTTCATTTGGGTTAGTGTGTGAAAAGGTCAATAGGTCCAATAGATTTATGGGTTGAATACGTTGGTAGGTCTATGTTTGAGAAGAAAAATATTGACCCAAAGTTATTATATTTTAGGACCCTCTTAAAATTAGCAAAGGAATTTGGTAGAAATGGTATTGTGCTTGTGTATTACAATGACCCTTTTGCCATACTACGGTCTCAATCTTTGTTTCTTAAGTCAATGCATGATAACAAAAGTTTGATAGGGTTGTTAAGCTTGACGGAGAAAGTTGAACAAGTTGACATTTATTATGAATATAGAGGTAAAGACCATCCCCTACTCGGTGAGAATAATCCGTCTAGAGTATGTCAAAGGCTAAGGATTATTGACCATAGCGTTAGGTTGAGTTTTGAGGATATAAGAGATGAATATGATCTTGAATTAATTGATGATAAGACAATAAATAGAAAAGAAGATTGAGTTGAAAATTTAACCGATGTTGGGTTTGTTAATAGTAAAGAAGTAGGCGGAAATGGTTTAGTTGATATTTTACTATGAGAAGATAATTTAGGTGATGATAGTGTTGTTAATGATGAGGTTAGTGAGGAAGAGTCCGATACATCCGAGGGTAAATGTGTTAGAAAGTGATGAAGTTTTTTTATTCTTAGTGGTTGTCTAATGATGGAGATGAAGAGTTACGATAAACAAGAAATCGAGCTAGGAAAGCATAGGAGAGAAGGAGTGGTTTAAATTTAGAGGGAACTCAAGGTCAAAATTTGGAGGGAACTAAGGTTGAAAATTTAGAGGGAAATCAAGATGTTAATTTAGAGGGAAATAAGCGTCAAAATTTAGAGAAAAACTTAGGTAAGGAAACTATCGAGAGAAATGAGGTTGAAATTGATTGTGATGATAAATTATTGAATGTCTTTATAAAGGAGATTGAAACAATAGAAACAGAGCATGAATATGACTCGATGTAAGAGTTAGTATAGATGGCGGTGATAAGGATAATAAGAAGTATGGGAGAAGAAGGAAACCCAAGAAGGTGTTTTTTGAACCTAACACAACCGATCCACATTTTCGGGTTGCAATGATTTTTGCTAGTAAGAAACAGTTTACTAATGCAATGACTAAACATGCTTTATAGCATAAGAGGGATGTACAACTTGAGAAGAATGATAGAAAAAGGGTTATAGTGGTATGCAAATATGAGGAATATGCCTTTAAAATTCTATGTTCTCCATATGGAAAATTTGAAAATTGGATGGTGAAGATATATATGATAGAGTATAGTTACAATACTATTTATAAGAATAATCATATGAGTTATAAAGTTTCAAGTAAGCATTTAATTCATAAATTTGATAGAGTTTGTTTGAAAATGACATTGAATAAAATTGTTAAGGTAGCTAAGAAGGATTATAGTCCGGAGATCTCATTTACACTTGCTCGACATACAAAAAATTGGTACAAAGTAAAGATTGAAGGTAATATAAATTTTGAATTAGATAGACTTAAAGACTATGTTACAGAATTAAGGACTAGTAATAAAGGTAGTAATGTTATCCTATAATGTGAGGAGAAATCTAAAAAGTTTTAGAGATATATGTAGGTTTTAAAGCATTAATGGATGGGTTTTTAGAGGTTATTGAAGGATTATAGGTATAGATACTTACTTTCTCAAATGACATTTTAAAGGGGAACTTCTAGTGGCTATGGGTAGGGATGCAAGCAATCGGATGTTTCTTCTTTATTGGGCAATTGTAATGAAAGAAACAAAGGAAATATGAAAGTGGTTTTTTCTTCAAATTGTGGCTGATTTGAAAATTCCAATAGGTCTTGGACGTAGGTGGGCTTTCATCTTAGATTCTCATAAGGTGATGCATTATTTTAATTTTTTTTATTTCATATAATAGCTAAATCAAGTTTAAAAGTTAGTTTTAGTTTCAAAATTTTTTATTAGACTAAATTTTCTTGTTGTTAAAAATTTTGATCCAAGGTCTATTAGGAAGTTACTACATGGTGTAGAACATAAGAGATGTGCTAGACATATCTTTGCTAATTAGAGGGAAGATGCATAAAGATGAAGAATTACATAGGCTATTTTGAAAATACTGAAAGACACTACACCCTAATACTTAGAAGAATACATGAAATTGTTAGAGGAGATAAGGCCTAGTACAAAGGCAGATTTTGAAAACATCTCACTTAATCGATGGTGTATGGCTTATTCTAGACTCGAAATCTAGTGTGATGTGGTAGATAATAACATGTGTGAGACTTTTAATGAAATTATAACTGAAGCTAGGTTTAAAAGCATTGTGAGTATGCTAGAGGAAATTAGGATGTATGTTGTGGGTAGAATGATTTCAAGGAGAGTATTTATTAAGAAGAAATTTAAAGGTCCATTTGGACCTAAAATTTGAGTAGTTATTGAGAAAATTGAAAAATTAATGATGATTTTAAGGTGTTCTAGAATGGAAGTAAAGGTTGAGAGGTAAGTTGGATAAATGAGGATGATAGGTTTATTGTTAACAAAAAGCAAAAGAGTTACACTTATGGAGGTCGGATATCCCGGTATCCCTTGTGAGCATGCACTTATTATAATGAAATTGAAAATATAGAGAGTTGAAAACTATGTTCATGAGTGGTATTCAAAAGATAGATTTATAGTCATATAAGTATTTTATTAAACCTATAAATGGAGAGAAGTTTTGGCCAAGAACTAGTTTACTACTTGTCTACCCTTCAGTCGTTGTTAAGATGCCTAGAAGACGGAAAAAGAGTAGGAGAAGAGAAAAATGGGAGGAAAAAAGTAGTAGTACTAATATGTCTAGAAAATGAAGAAAAATGACATGCCGGAGGTGTTTTAAACAATTCATAACAACAAGACTCGCCTTGAAAATCCCAATCAAAAGGTATGAATATTTATGATTATAACCCTTTTGTTTTTTTGTTTAACTTTGCATAATCATCTACTTGATAATAATAACATGTTGTCTATAGTTGACAAAAGAGGAAGAAAAAAATTTATTGATGAAGTTCCCGAAGTTGAGTCAAGAACCAAGTCTCTAATTATTAGATATATTGCTAAAAGATGAAAAAGACCTCTTTGTTGATGAAAGTGCTTGCTACAACAAAACTCTTAATACTAGATCAACTACTTAAAAAGCTAAGAAACCTCAAGTTGAGAAAGGTTTTTTGTTGCTGATTCAAAATGTATGATTTTAAACGTAAGTGTTATTGTTATTGCTTGTTGAATTCAAATAAATAATTTAATTTTTTATATGTTAATTTTCAATAATCTTTTTTTCTTTTTATGCAGCTTGGACACTTAACTAGTAAATTAATTACGAGTCCCACACGGAAAGATCTAAAAACAACTATAACTTCTAAGAGAAAGGAAAGAAAGAAGAAAAGTAAAATTGGAACTCAAGAAAGTAGAGTTCTTTGTCTTTGTGATTGATATGTTTTACTTACATGGTTGGGATGGTTATGAAATTTGTACCAAAAAAATTTTAGAATGAGTGTCATGGATTGATGTTTTGTAATTAAACACCCACAACTCCTGATTTTATTTGTTGTGTTTTTAAAATTAAAGTTAACCATATAATTGCTACCTAATAAACTATATGATATGATTTGAACAATTGCTATCTAATTGAGTGTATATTGTTATCTATTGCTAGATATGGTAACTTATAATTGCCCAAACTCATGTCCACCTAACTAGCATAAGATTGATGTAGTGCTTGTTAAATGATTGCCAAGTCTAAAGGGTCATTGGTCGCCATGTGTTATCTATTAATTATAAATTGAGAACTTGGTTGCTCGAAAGTAGAGTAATTAGGAATAGCAAGAGGGTTATCTTAGTCGCCGGCATTTGTTTTTTTAATTTTTAGATTTCATTATTCAAATTCGGTTAATCGACAATCTTAATTAGTTGTCAAGCATTAAGTGATAGAACCAAATTGGGTTTTTCATCAAGTATATATGTACCCATAAATATCATATTAGTTGATGAATCCTTATGCAAGCAAAAATTGATCATCCGAGGCGAGACAACCAAAATTATGCACTATTTTTATGAAAATAAGTTCAATAAACTATAAGAAAAAAATCCTTTAACCATGAGAAGGAATTGCAAATTTGAAATGCAAATTAACATCATCAAATCAAATAGTGTTTCATATAAGTTCACTACAAGAACAAATATAACTAGAAACTAGATACTCGTATGGTTTCGGATTAATTCCACATTCATGACTCATTTCATTATTAAGGTGAAAATGGAAAAGTTAAAAGAAAAGGGCAAGCATCAAATTATAAGTTTATTAATTAAAACTAGAGTTTAAGACCTCCAAGAAGGTCGATTACTAGAAAAATTCACAAGAAGCTGATGAATTTGCAACAAAATGAAGATATAAAATCCATGCAATATGTGATAAAATCACCCCATGAAAAAACTTCGTAAATCGGGATTGCCAAAAAGAATGAGCAAAAGGTAAAAAAAAAACAAAAACTAAGGAAAGAAACTGAATATATATATATATATATAGCTCAAAGATCAAAATTTTATAGGAACCCAACTGAAAATGATCTAAACTAAGACAAACAAACATCACAATACGAGTAGATTTAATAAATTATGACATACAATACGATCATCAAATAAATAAAGATCAAAATAATAAAATTAAAACCACTTCAATACAATTTACAAATAACTTACTTCAATGCACTTCATAAATAACCTACTTCGAGTATACTTTAGAAACAACCTACTTCGAGTATAATTTACAAACAACCAATAGAATTAAAATTAAAACCACTACTATTTTATAGAAATTCAACAACTTAAACATTGTATTCACATAATTTTTTCATTCTCAAAATCATATGTTCTTTCTCTACCTCTTGTGTTGTTATCTCTACCAAGAAAGCTTCCTTTTCCATGAAAAGAGAATCTAACTCATTCTTCAACCTTCAAACCTTCACAATCAACTCATTGTTTTCTTTCAACAATAAATTTTTCTCTTTATAAATCTGTCTTTGTCTATCTCTCATTCCTAAAACAATCATCCAAACTCTATTTTCTATGAAATCACCATTCCACATTCAATAACCACAACCAAAATTTTTATTACTATTGTGGGCAAAACGTATAAGACATGGATGGAACCTTGAACTCTGGATGCTTTTCACTCCATGACATCCACCTTGTAGTCTTCAACCCACAATAACATATCATTGTAGGCTCTTCGTAATTCAATTCGGAAGTTTGTGGTGAAATTGTACAAATCAATCGTAATCTGTCATCCTCAATTTCGTTGGTGAGATTAGAGGATTGCGAATTGATTCCATCCCATATTTTTCTACACATTGACGATGTAGATGAGTTCAAAATGAAAAGATCAACTTGGGAACTTTAGGGTTTTCATGAAATAAATAAAGCAATTTGGGGATTTTTGGGTTGTCACAAATTATGGGCTTTTTGTTATAGAAAATTTAAGGTTTTAACCTATAAACAGATGTATTAACAAAAGATGAAAAGAAAAATTGATGAGAAGGATGAAAGAAAAATGGAAAAGAATAAGGGTTTCGAATTGGGGATTTTCATAAATTGGAGATTCAAACGATTGAATAATCAATTTGCTAGAATAATAGATGAGATCCAAAGATCTTTAGGTTCGATTGGTTGTGAATCGATGGTGAATAGAAAATCAAAGGCAAATGTGTGAGGATGTTAGGATTTTCTCGTCTAGATAAAACAACGATCGATCGACTACAAGAGGAGAGAGAAAAATCAATAAGTTTTTATATTTTGGAATTTTTTTTCCTTTCAGATATAAGCATGTAGAAATTTTGAGCCACGTGGCAAATTTTATCCGATGTGACTTGATACGTGATAATTTTTTACCATTTGTCATTACCAACTAAAAAAATCACTGAATTTATGTAAGAATGGCACATTAAAAAAAATTAAAAAGTACGAGGTGTTGAACAAAAACAAAATACAAAAGCCACGTTAAGAAAATGTTAAGAGACATTTTATGCAATTAAACTATACATCAATTTAGATGTTAACTGGTAAGGATTCTGAGCATCGGGTTAGAAGCTAACTCAAAAATGGACTCAAGTACAAAAGAGGCTGCTGTGATTCAATGGTATTGGATCTTATGGATAAAAAAAGTAAATATTAAAAAATTGAATAAAATTACGTCCCTAGCTCTATCTGTTTCTATCCAAATTTGCCATTAAATTAGTTTAAACTATATATATGTGGCATATATGTCAATAAATTATACAATGTGTAAGTTATGTACAGTAGATTATGCAGGCATTAGTCCATTTAAGAACATTCTATGCCGTTATAAAAGAAACAATCTGACCTAATGTTACTGCAAGCCCATAATTGATTCACGTCACTCTCTTCTCCATGTCTTGTGTGTCATAATTGTCACGATATTTACTTAATTCAGGGAAGTGGATTCAGCTTGAGTCGACATTGCTTGCACATCTTTGATCATGGGGATTGTATGGTCCAAATAATGCCATTATGTAATTAAATTAACCAACGTCTAAGCATAAGAAATTACAAGGAGAGTATTGTTAAGACAGCTATACTGTCCAGTAATCCATATTACAAGGTAGTGTTACTTTCCTGTTTACTCCATGCCTGCCTCACAGCTTGTAGTAATTTGTCAGAGACTTTCCATCCAACTCTTTTGTGAAGAACCTTTTCATATAGTCCGTGTATAGAAACTCCCCGTAAACAGCTGGTTTTTCTGGTGATATTAGCTCCTGAAAAGGTCCAAACAAGCTATCCCTCTTGAGTGGGTTGAAGAAAATTGCAATTGAAATCCGTGGATCTTGGCAACCATTAGCCAACACTCTATGCTCATTGCTCTTGTACTCATCATTAGACAGAATCTGAAAATTCATAAAGGAACACATTAGAATTTAAAGCTTCAGTAGTAATTGTTGCACTGTAATTTTTTCAGCCTCTTTACACATCAATTTTTATGGGATCCAGGGTAACAAGCTAAAGAACAGTGAAACCAATTCTTACTTGCATTATATCTCCAATATTGATTACAATGGCACCGGGGACAGGTTTAACATCCACCCAATCCTCACCATGTTTAACCTGCAAACCACCAATATGATTCTGCAGTAATACTGTTAAAACCCCAGGATCTGTGTGAGACTTAATGCCGACTGTTAGATCAGGCTGGGGACAATATGGATAGTAGTGGGCAGCCATAGTCCTAGCTTCCAAAAATGTCATGTCCTTCAACTTTCCTGCATTTAATCCTAGGCCTTCACATAACAATTCCATCAACAGCTCTCCCAATTGTTTGGAGTATTGATTCCAATCAACCATCTCATTTCTACATATCTCAGGGATTTCTTCAAGCTCTGGTAAGTTAGGGCCAAGAGTCATCTGGAGCGTGTCTCTGCATTTAGAAATACATTATACTTTTTGTATCAGAATAATTTAAACCCTTGTATCCTAAGAATGCATGAAAACTGTATTTCCACCCATGTACTACTGCACATACCCATTAGATCAGGGACTATTACTGTTCCTTCAAGTGAAATTTTGCTGGATTATGCGGTTGGAAAGATTAGAAAAGGGAAATTGACAGTTCAACTTTTTGAAGTCAAGAAATTCATACCCGTGTATTCCCATATAACTCATCTACAATTTAAAATAATATATATATGGACAAAAAACTAGGCAATAACTGATTAGTAAACCAATCAATTTTTTTTTAGTTTAAGAAGTAAGATGTATTCGGACCACCTTTGATACATCAAAAGACTAATCCTTACATGACGGTGGTTAAAGGGTACTCCCAAATGGACCATCTCGGATATGATACTGACTAGATGGATCGAATTCCTGGCCAACACCCTGTGGTTAGGAGACCAATCAAGTAGGAAAGAGGAAAATGAAAAAACCAATAGGCCACACAGAACAGATCAACTAATTATGGAATTGAATAATCTGCTTAAGATGAGATTGGAAGGAGATTTAGACTCGAAAGCTTTCACTCTAGCCGAGGATACCATTAATATCAAATTAAAAAAGAAAAACAGAATATTTTGGAATTAGAAGGGTACATAAACAGGGTATAATAGGATATTACCTCCAACTAGCAGCTTTGGAATGAAACAAGTCGACATTAGAGAGGAAGGACACGCCAGTCCCCATCTCTCTGCGATACCATCGCATCTTCTCCTCTGTGGGCAGCTCATGAAACCCCTTTATAGCTCCAATCGTACGGTCCAAAATTTCCACAGGAACCCGGTGATTGACAACTTGGAAGAAACCGAACTCGCGACATGCACGTCCAACTTGATCCACTATTGCTGACCGTCGATTCGAATCCTCCACGCCCGACATATCGATGGTGGGGATCCCATTGGATTCGGAATCGGGTCGTCGGGTACTACTCTTAGGTTTGAGATCCGACAGGGTCTCCGGTGGGTGAATAAAAAACCGAGGAATTGAGGTGATGCCCGAGTCCATTAAGCCCTTGACTCCGATTTTGGAATCATCGAAGTGTTTCACTTCTTTTAAGCGATCGTAATCTTGATTAGTAGTGTCATTGATCATAGCTGCCATGATGATTTTCTTGCTTCTCTTTTTGTTTACTGTTTTTGTACGGTAGCACTCTTTGTGGTGGCTATGTGGGTACTTGCAGCTGAAGAGAGGCAGCTGGATTGAAAACATTGGAAATTACCTGTCTTAAGAATCTGAAAATAATTTCCTTAAATTGCTCAAGACACCAAAGTGTCATTTTCCAAGTTTCGGTATTATGTCTTTCTTTAATAACGTGTACGATTCAAACACATGTAAACAGACAAGTTTAAGGTCGGAGTCGTCTCTTGCATTCCATTGTTGTGCGGACTTTTTTAGGTTCCGTTCTTCTCTTGATGACCTACTCGGTTTCTAATGTCTCCCAACACACTTTCCTGTCTTTATAGCCACACAAATTGTATTTGAACAGTAGTTACAGTACGTTTCTATCTTGGTTTCTCTGGAGACACCGACACCAGCCTTTGAACCATTGACCTACAACCCCTTGTTTGGATAGCGTAAAAAATGGGAGAGAGGAAAAAAAATGGAGGTGAAAAGAAATGTTTACACCGTTTAGGAAGAGAGAGGAAAGCAGTGGAAAGAAAAAAAAATAAACAACGTAAAAATGATGGGACTCATTTTCTTTCCAAAATTAGGAGAAAACGGAGAAAAAAACAGAAGGGATGGAATTTTTTTTTGTTTTTTCCAGTTCGTCTTTGCCTTTAGCCGTTTCCTTTTGTTTCTCTGCCATCATCTCATCTCTGCAAAGACAATCTCTCTCTCTCGCTGAAGCTGTTTCTCTGCCATCACAATTACCAATTAAGATCCCAAGCCATCAAAATCCTTTACTACTGAATCATATGTATATATATAAAGCTACTTGATAAAAGATAGACTTACAGGCCAAACTTTTTATGTGGTGGATATATATGGGGAGGTGACAAGATTGATATTTGGTGAGGCTTTCTCATTTGGATGGGAGAGGAAGAGCACAGAAAGAATAGCCACAGAGAAACCTGATAACAGATAAAGCACCAATCCCCTTGTGGCCATATATATAATCTTAATTACCACCTGTGCGCAGAGAATTAATTAAAAACAACAAGAAATTAAGAAGCTCTTTGTATTCCTTGATCAAGACCACCTCCCCCGGCCAGATGATGGCTGCTGCCATTACTTCTTGCGTTACTTAATTTCTGTTTGAAAAAGACAGCAAGGGAGGAAGTAATGAAAGAAAATACAGAGAGTAGAGAACAATGGCGTAATAAATAAAACGGGGACAAACAACGAAGAGCTAGACAGGGCTAATATTACGGCGATAATTTATCGTTTAAGGAATAATTATTTATTTATTATCTTTTGTGTTATTTTTATAAAAAAAATATTTATATAAATTTATTATAAATATTTAAATATAGAAATATAATCATAGAGTTATTATAGTGAATATATAATTATATATAATTATATATATATATATATATATATATATATATATATATTTTATAATTATCCAAACAAAAAAGACGTATTTTTTTTTCTATTTTTATCTAAATAATAATAAAAAATGACTTACTTTCCTCTTCCAAGACTAATTATCCACACAAGGGGTACAAGATTATGCATTTCACACAATCCAACAAAGCTATAACGAGGTTCGTAGTACATTTCGATCTTGAATATATATTAATGTTGGCCCACTGTAATGCCAGAAAATTTTATGTTTTAATTGTTTTTCGGATTTTTATTTTTTTTATTTTTTAACATCTGGACATTTAGATTATGTACGGGTACATTGCTTGCGTCATATTGGGGTCTGAAAAAACAAAATTATTTAAAATTTATATTTTTATTTAATTAATTTTTTAATGTTTTTCATAAATTTTTTTCTAAAAAACATAATTCATTTTTCTTTATGAAATAATTTTTAAATAAAAATTTGTAATAATTTAAATAAAAATATTAATAAAAATAAAATAAAAATATTTAAAAATATATTTTTCATAATATTGTATCTCAAAAATAAAGTTATAATTGATAACTAGACTTGTATAAAAATTAACAAATGATAATATATATATATATATATATATATATATATATATATATATATGCTTACTTAGTTCTCATGAGAAGATTAATTTTTGAAGTTATTTATGCAATGCTACATGTCGGATAGAACATAATTATTTCAAATTTTTATTAAATTTTTATTTAATAATAATTATTTTTTTATATATTTTTCATAAAATTTCTACTTAAAAAATTGATTATTCTTCTTTATTCATTGATTTTTAAATAAAAAATTATAATAATTTAAATTAAAATATTAATTAAAAATTAAAAAATAAATACTTTAAAAATATATCTTTTATAAGAAAGTATCCAAAAAATAAAGTTATAATTAATGTATAGATTTGTATAAAAATTAACTAATAAGAAAATAAAATTTTATTCTTATTTTTCTAAAATTAATTTTTAGATTTTTTGTTTTATTTTATTTTATATTTGGCCTTTAGTCAATCAGGGCAAACTACTTATGTTTTTTGCAGTCCTTTAACTGCTATTATCATATTATTCATATATATTCAGACTTGTTAGTTTTTTACAGTTAATTATGGTTTTTTTTTTTTTTTTTTTAGAATTTATGAGTACAAAATAACCTCATATCCTTTCTACGTTGTGTCAAGTAGTATCAGAGCAAGATCGACTTGACTGATGGATAATAGTGGTAGCACCCATCCTAATGACTTCGACCGTGGGATGCAGATCACTAGGGATGTTGTGAGGGGTCTTTAACATGCTCAAGAAATCCAAAAGGGGGTGCTCAGAAGTCTAGAACAAAGGTTTGGTCAATTGGAAAGAATAATTGTACGGATAACATGTTGATTTGATCGAATGCTCAATGACCTCGTCCACAGGAATCGAAATGAAGTTGGGGAAACCTTACGATGAACCCAACGCTAGACCTATGCTTAAAGAACCAAACCCACAAATCTATCAGGCTTATATGGAGGATTTTGATATACGAGTAATAAAAGATGAATATTTTGTTGGATATGGTAAGGAAGATGGAGAGAGGCATGATAGATTTAACTATGACCCTAATAAATTATGTTTAAAAATTGACATAGCCATCTTTAGTGGAGATTTAGGAATAGATAAATTTATGAACTCTCTCTTTTTATTGTGACAGGATAATGGAGCATGCAAGCTTGTTATAAAAAGAGATGGTACGGATGGTTGTAAATAGGTTGAAAAAAGGGAGTTTTTTTCAATTAAGGGAAACGGTTCAGGATGATTTTGTGGCAGAAGATAGACAACCTATTACAATCTAATTTCAAATGAGGCAGTTGTTGAGAGAACGATTCCTACCCCCTTAGATTTTAAGCAAGACTTGTTTCATAAATATCAGAAGTGTACTCAGGGTCGAAAAATTATCATTGAATACATTGTTGACATTATGAATCTAGAACAACGTAACCTGTTGTGAGAGATTTAAGACCGAATAATTGTTAGGTATTTAGATGGTTTGAAATCTACCATTAGAGATAAGATAAGCATCTAAATAGTGCGTACACTTGATGATGCACGAAATATATTACTAAAAGCAGAGGTATTACCAGTGGAGCGATCCTACAGCACCAATAGGTTTGAACCTACCTACAGAAACAATGCATAGACTAGCAAGTTAGAGACTGGAAGGGGTAAGGTTGCTTAGCCAACCCAATAGAGTGCTCGCCAAGACGTTGACGAGTCAGATAAGACAGTAGTGGGAAAGTAGAACGAAGTAGCTTAGCTAGAAAATTCATATGCAAGACCAATACTTGAAAAGTGTTTCAAATGTGGCAAATCAGGACATCACTCTAGTGACTATAGAAGGCGAGAGCTATCACTACACCAAATAAGGGCATTGCAGGTGGTTTTTTGGGCTTCTGAGGCGGTTATAACCACCTCTATAAAATGTAGAGGCGGTTTTAAGGACCGCCCCAAGACCGTCCGCAATGTCGTCGTCTCTACGGTGTATGGGCGGCTTTGGCAATCGTCGGGGATTTACGAGACGGTTTCTTGGGACGGTCCAAACCGCCTCAAAAAAAAAATTTTTAAACGGTTTGAATCGCCTCTACAATGCAAATTTTATCATCTCGTTTCTTTTTAGGGTAATTGTTGCGGCGGTTGAGAACCGCCTCTACATTGTCGAATTTTTTAAAAATGCGTGAGAAATAGTTGAGACGGTTGCAATTGCCTCAAGGTTAAAATTTGTAGAGGCGGTTGCAAACGCCCTAAGATTAGAATTTGTAGAGCGAGTTCAAATCGCCCCAAATTATATAATTTATAGAATTAATTTCAGAATTCATAGAAGCAAATTTTATAATTCATAAAGATGGTTGTTTAACTTTCACTTTCAAATTTAATTGTTGAATGTAAAAAAAATTAAAATTATATAGCTACCATAATATTCTTAAATTTATAATTATCAAATTCTAAATACATAAAAAGTCGTCAAACATTCACATGTTAAAAAAAAAAAAACTAAATAAAAAGCTATCAAACATTCATAATATTCTTAAACACTCGATATCGACAACGTGCAACGATAACCACTCGCTTCTTCCCGATCATCACCAAGAACTTCAACTCTTCCACAAAAGGCTTCTAGCATATCACGAAGCTTCCAATCGTGGCATTTAAGAAAAGTTGTTAACCACAAAACCATAAAAATGAATGAGACATAAGAGAGATAAGAGTTTAAAATATCATCGGCAGTCTACGTTGAAGCTCAACAAGATTTTGTTGAATCACCGCTGAAATGTCATCACCGCCTTTTTTCTTAACTTTCGATTTCTAAAGGATGAGGTAATGTCCTGCAGTCCATTCCCTAGGTTACAAATAAATATTTAACCCAATCACATAAAACTAAATCCAAAATTTTGCGTACATTAGGGGTATATTTCAGTCGGTGATTTTGAAATCCATCATAATCTCTTTGTGCTTGAAATGAAATTGGTATACTTGGCTCAATGGACTTGCTTTCAAATGCAGCA